TACTTGTATTTTGTTTCATTGTGATAAAAATGTAATCCCTAACAACTTTGTTGTTAGTGATTCAAGCTCAATAGTATTCACAAAATGAAAAAAATGATAAAAGTTTTTTTATATAGAGGTAAATCAAAATTGAAGAATAAATATTTAGAAAAATACGATAGCCTGTTAAAATTATGAAAAAATAGTCAAGATAAGAAATATTGCTGTGTGAAAATCAAAACTGATGATCATTTTTCAGCCAAAAAATATTAATCTTCAGGAGTTTGACTTGATTAAAATGTATTAGGACGAAAAGTTATGCCTTATGCAACTCTATAGGAAATGTTGTTGATGTTTGGATTAACTTAATTGCTAATTTGATAAGTATCATAAATATAGATTAAAAAATATACATTGCATCATGTCATTGTTATGATTGATAGCCAATTACTATTATTGGAACACAATTCTCTTTATGTCATTAGATATCTTAGAATCTTTTGAATATCTCATATACCATTAGATTTATCATATCAATTTTGATAATAAGTCATATGAATCAAATGTCAATATTTAGTAAAATCTATCAAATACTAATATTGAATTTAAAAATTCTTCATAATTTAAAATTTATATCTTTGTTTCACCTTAAAAATCATTTGGGATCATCACAACTTCTAGAAGTTAATATATATTTTGTTCCAACTTAATTCTTATTAGCTAAAGTTAATCAATATTAGCTAAACTAAGTTTCTTATCAGAACTTACAAAAACGTCACACTATACTTACACAAACTACCCCATACTTTTTGTAAAAAGAGATATGATCATTACAAACTTTAGATTTTGCATACTCATTATTTCCTTCATTGACATGAAAGCTTGTAACTTTAGCGATGGATAAACACATAAATTATTGAAGTGTTGAGAGTATATAATACCTTCCTCAAGTAGATTGTCACCCTGCAAGAAAGTTGTGCACTATGTACATGTCAACCTATCTTGCTAGGAAAACTGAGTAAAGCTTTTGGCATGCAACAACAAATAAAGCTCTTGCTCACCTAACATGGATAAGAATCGTAGACATAGGCGGAGTGATGTGAAAGTCAGGTTACTTGTCAAAACGGCAAATGCAGCTGTTACCAAATGAAAAACAAAAATAGCGGAATGATTGTAGGATTCAATGTTGAGCAAAGAGAATGCTCTACTAGCCAAACTCAACTGCACTCCGAATTTCTTGTGGACGAAATGAATAACATAGCTTTAAATGGCAATGAGCTTGAGAAGTAGGTAAGCAAAAGCTAACGAGCAAGCAAGAAAAAACTCGCTGCAGAAACCTGTTTCACAAAGATTTCCAATTGAGTACTGAACGTTAAAGACAAAAGAGTCGATATACATGAGTTTTTTACATTTGATGATCAAATGTTAACATGTCAACAAAGATGAAGTAACTTCTTTTAGCAAGAGTTGTTTTGAAGTCTTACAAACTGTATGATGCCGAGAAGTTTTTTTTAACACACGTAAAGACTGCAGTTCACACTTTGTAGATGAAGGCAAACACATGATTACGCTTGTGCACTTGTAGTTGATAAGGGAAAATACATGAAGGTGGGTGAGGAAGTGTTAATAAAGTTCAAAACTAGGCGGTGACAGTAATTATATAAAAGAGTAGAAAACAGTCATATGAAAGATTTTTCTATTAATTTGCAGGGTAACAAGTAGGCTTGTGAATAGAAGCATCAAGGATCGGTGAGAGAGAGTGTCTATGCTTGAAAGTAGAGAAACCTAAGATTTTATTGTAGGAACTTTGTCTCTCATTGATTACTCTGAACTTTTAAGTTTCACATATTACCATGTAATACATTGTTAGAATATATAATCAGATATAGAAGTGTTTGTGTATTACCATGTGATCCATCGTCAGCATAGCCACTCAGGTATACATGTGTTTGTATATTACCATGTGAGACATTGTTAGAATAGTTATTAAGTTACACAAATGTCTACATATCTACATATAACAACTCAAAAAAGTATCATCAACATCCAAACCTAATTTATTTTTGAATAGAATGAAGATAAATTCACAATTCAAACTTACAGTCTAATAGACAAGTGCTAAAATGTTCCAGTAAGGGTTTTTTGAGCGATTCAAATCATCTACAAGTGTCTGATAAAGCATATTTATTATATAATTACTTCCACTTAGAGTAAAGCATGAAAAATCACAGATTAATGTATTATTTCTTATCATCTGATTCAAAAACCATACATTTCAAATATGATTTTATCATATAATTGATTTGAAATAAAACACAATAGTAAATCATACCATTTTTATTTCTGATTATTAAAATTTATACGTTCATTTTCATGTTTTTGTAAAACTATAAGCTAATTTTACAATGCAATAACATAGATGCATTCAATTGAAAATTTACATTAAAAAAATCATTAAATTTTATATTGAAGATGAATTTTTATATATAGTATATGCAATTATACAACTGAAAGTTAAAGTTTGCAAATTTTTTTAACATGTGCAAATTAAAGATTATTAATCTTCTTATATGAAAATATGATGTGAATCATCTCTATGTTAAGCAATAATCATGTTTCCAAATATCATATAATTGATTTTGAATTAAATTTTGGTAATTTGGTAATTAAAATATATAGTGAACATATTTTAAAATTATGATTAATCAAAATTATGCTCTAAGATAGCTATATTTAAAATCTACTATTGAGACATGGCTTATAGTTCTACTTCTATTGGCGTTAAGTAATCAAACTATTCTAACTTCACCGTCTAAATATTGTGTTTGTATGTTCGTATCTGTATTTACTTGGGTATAGCTGACAATACATAATTTGTGAATTGGAGTAATTATTTTCAGCATGTCACAACATTTTTTTATGGAAAAAACATATGCAATAAAATATACATATATGCTACTCACACAAAATTTCATCGGTGTAGGATACACAGATTTATAGTAGTATTTTTTATGAATATCTGGATTCATGTATTAAACACATCTAAAGAACATGATAGAACATATACAATCACATTCTAAAATTCTAACTTTGTATGCTTAAACACTTATTTAATTGAATAGTAGAGTGTTTCATCTTGTGAGAACTCTTATTGTCAATAAAAGTCTGATTTATAATCTCTTAAGGTGATTTCTATACTTTTTAATCCTCACATTGAATCATAATTGCACAGTTGTCTGTAGAGCTGTGAGATGGATGGAGAAAATCTGGAGGCTTCTGAATCCATTTTCTACGTATTCGCTTTCGCTCCATTAGTTTTGTTTACATCCACAACTTGCCTTGATCTCTTCACTATTTTTCGGAATATGAGAATTTTACATATAAACATACGTATTTACAGATGATCAAACTGCTGATCGATTCACCTCATAGTCTGCTGCTCAATGGGACGCTGATATGCATATGAATGCAGCTCTGTTCGAAAAGGCTTCACTAGGATTTAGCCGACTGATGTTGGTCCAGGGTTTTTGTGAGGGTAAATTCCATCGATTTGGAAAAGTTTAATATCTTTGTTTCTTTTTGTCTAAGTGAATCATTCAGAGTGAACGACTCCAGTGTAAACAAGACAGTATTTGAAGTTCGGAACTTATCTTGGAGCCAAGACATTAACAATATTATACCCTGATATGATCCTCTTTGATTCACGGTCAAAGTCAAGAACGTTTAGATTCTCTTTGGTCGTACTACAGAACATAAGCTTGAGGAAAGGTGTTGGCAACCTTGCTCGAACTTTTGATCGCACTTTCTCGATTTTCTTCTCTTTGACTGGGGCACGCTACGAGGTAGATCTCATGCATCAAACGGCTCTTGATAAAGAAAACCTCTAAACATCTGTATACACTCAGGGCTAGTTCTCAAACTGTTGGAAAGACAATTTTTCTGTTAGGAAACCACACCTTCCTGCTCTCAGTCTGCAACATAAAAACCCTGATGGAAAATAATTATATACTTTTATCGTCATCTAATTTGGACTCTTCTAGTTTCAAGTTTACTGCCACCGATGATCCACCAGCTACTCACTGCTACACAAGTGATACATTAGCTCAATTCTGAAACACAGTAGAGCTTATTATCCAAGTCATAGTCAACCTCGATCTGTGATACATAGTACATATGAAACTTAATCAGGGTATAGGTAACGATCACATGTAAAACGTGATATATACTGTACTGTAGATCACAGTCAACTCAGCTGATAAAAAACAGACTGCAATAACCCATTCCAGTTCGAATGTGAATGTGGTTTAGAATCTGTCTGGCAGTCCAGTCTAGACTTAGGAAGCAGACTACAACAATATGATAACTTCTTGTCCCTATGGGAATCTCATGACCAAAGTCCTTGACATTGGAGAGGTAAACACCTCCGAACACCTTAGCAAATCACCACGCTGGAGCCCATGCTTTCTAAAGATGGTGACCTCCAAGATTATCTTAAGCATTTGATGTACCCGCATATGATATCTCCACTGATTCTGCTACAGCTATACTCACATGGACATGGTGTCAGTCAAAGTTATCTATTGACATAGAAATGAGAAAACCTCGTGATTCACTTGCACCAAAGACTATGTAGCATGAGACGCCCATTTCATCTCAATAGCAAGCTCGACTGTTTTGGTACTTACTTATAATGGTAATGGTAGATGGTAATGGTCCTCAGAGATCGTGATCTACCTATTCTGTTAGCTGGCATAGGGCAACCTTCTGTCAACTCTACTTAGTTCAACCGTAGATAGACCCAGCCAGTTGCAAAATGAGGACCTTGTTGAGGATTAAGCAGCAAATTCTACAAATGAAATGACCTTGTTGAGGAATCCTTACATAATAATACCATAAACACAAGGAATAAGGATAATGAGGGAATGGAATACCCTTCTTCACACTATTGAGGTGAGTTATTGATTATAATAGTATAAGTATAATCACACGGAGGTCTCTTAGTATCGCCTCCGTGTGATTGTGAATAAATCAAATCCATGCGTCAACATACTCCGGTCGATCACAACATGCGTCATTACGTCGTTCAGAACTCTATGAATGTGAAATTGTCCACGATTCTAAAGTCACTGCTTCGTTAAACATCAATAGCCTTCAAGCTAGATTTATTAGATCTTTTGAGGTTTAGGTGCAAGGCACAGTTCCCTCGACTGTCAGGTGTTCTTTACTCTGTCCTGAATTGAACAGAGCTTTATGAGCTAAAGGAACCCCCAAGACATTTTTATGTACACCACAAACACTTACGTGGTGTTTTCAATTGAATTTCACAACGCAACTACCATCCGACTGGTTGATAATGTCAAAGACTTAGGAAAAGTAATCGACCTTTGATTGGTCGCTTGACCTTAGTGGGCCAGAACCATAAGCCTTACTGGGAGTCCTGAAACTCGACAGTCACTCTCAATCTACGATCTCCAAACACGTTTCTGCTTCAGACCTTCGTACTTAGTTTTCTGTACTTCGAAATTTCAGTGTGAGCCTTATTGTGTACAGAAAGTTCCTCTAAAAATCAGCTGTTTTCTCCAGATCGACCTCCAGCCAATGATTGAGCTAGTCTGTAATCAATCTGGAACTTTCACGCACTCGCGATGATTGTCCCATTCCCACATTAAGGGCCTGAGGCATGCCTCTGTCGAGTAGCGCAAAGGATAGCAAGTTCAAATAAACTCGGTACAGACCTTTTATGACGTTAGAAAACTCTCGCATCTGATTATCTCCATCTCGCATACTTCGCATCATCCTCACATTTTAGGAGACTAACTCGTCCGCTGCAGGAAGTTTGAGGCTATCCATGACTGTAATCCTCTCCTTCTCGAGGTTCTCTTCGAAGGCGAGTAATTCCTGCCACTGCCGTGATTTGAAATCCATCAATTTCTGGTGATGTATTTTCAACAACTCAACTTTCTTGGCTTCCCACTCTTCCTGTCTCTCAATGCATAGCTCCACTAATTGCGAATGCCGTGCTATTTCCTCCTCCACCCTGCGAAAAAGACCACGTGCATACAGCGAAAGAAATTTAATTGGTTAAATGGAAACAAGAAAAAACTGGCAAGAAGTATTAGACGATGTATCTAGGATTACAGATTTTAATTTTTGACGCAGACGCAGTTCCTTGCCAATAATTAAATACATACATCTACCAAAGGGAAGGCCATTACTATGAGTATTTCAATTGGTTAGAGACCAGGAAGTTGTTGGTTACTACGTTGGTATTTGATACTCAATCATAATTGCTCCTAAAGCAGAGGGCTGACCACCGGAGGGTCGCAAATATATCTGCCCAGTATATTTGACAGGTGCACCATATGTCACTTATGCCAACGCTTCTCTTGTCTGATTCTGCACCATGTTTCTTTCAGTTGCATCTTATCATGCAGCTCAGTCTCAGCTCCGTACATTTGTCCTGAAGAGCCCTTTACGAGAGATTGTATAACATCGAAGGGAAATTGTAGGCCTGTAGTCATGGTCACTTTGAGTGTGAGGTGTGTATAGATTCAGTGATGTCAGGGGTCTATATATTATGTTACTGTAAGCCCGCGAAAACAACTGTGAGGCCAGTTAAGAAATCAGGGGGACCACAGATAGCTAGCAAGTATTCAAGTCAAAGCCTTCAAGAGTGGCAGAACCTCCTACAATGCACCATCTTCAACCTTTTCAAGCTTACGAGAATATGAACAAACATGAAGTGCATGATCACAAGATTTGCCCACAAAGGTGACGTGATTAATACTCGAAAATAACACCACTATGTAAAGTAGAGACTAATTTCACATTTTGCTGGATTGACGAAGTATAAAACTAGAATTCGAGATATCACATGTAGCACAACCTGACCTACAGGACAGAAGACCGAACTGGTGCGATAGCTCCGCCTATGTAATCACTGGATAAACGATGCAGGACGGAATGAACCCTCCTCTCAGTTGGTGTATAAGAAACAAACTCTCCTTAACCGAGGACCGGAAAAAAAAAAGGATTGCACAGGCTCAACTGTCGGACGGTGATCCTGTAGGTCAAAAGATGGCGTGGTTCCTTCTAAGGTCACTTCCTGGATTCTTGATACAAGAAGTGATTTAAGACGAGCAAATAGTTGTCTCCTGAGAAGGAGATGGAGGTCTCAACTTAGCTGAATAAAACAGACGAGAACGCAAAACTCTGCTTAGAGAAATGGGTCTCAATTCCAAAGAAAATTTAAGACGTATGTGTCTCTCAACGATGAGCAGCCCTGCCAAGTGGCATGCTCGTCGATCAACAATCAGTTCTTTGTCCAAAAGAGTGGCAAGTTGGAGTAAACAAGACTACAGTACAGGAGGGAAGGGGTTTCAGAATGCCCTTCAAAATGCGAGTCTGAGTTTAGGTGTTGATCCAAGGGTCTGAGGTCTATGTTGTATAAAGGTAAAGGTTTGAGGCTCATTGATGCTAGCCTAGCACCGAGAATCATAAAAAAGGAGGAAACCGACATGAATTAAAACGTGGACAACAAGAGCTTTTTATCACTAACAACATATAGAAAAAGTGATTCACTAAAAGAAACTTGGAGCTAGAAGAGTTCAAAAGAAATATCAGAGAGCTTCAAAAAATCTTTAATAAAACATTGACTACATAATGACAGAAGGGGAGAGAATAGTACTGAGTTTGCTGCTGCTGCATCTCATCGTTGAGGACCTTGTCTTTAGGAATCTTCGATGCCCGCTGCTCCAGTTGTTCACACTGGTCTAGATGTTTTTGCTCAAAATCTTCATAAACTTTCTGCAAGCCCGCTTCTTTTTCCATAATTTCCTGTTTTAACTGTTCAACTTTTGACTTGTAGAGCGTCTCCATATCCCCCATCTGGACCATAAACATAGGGTGTATGAAATTTGCCCAGAAAAAACATGCAGTTACATCTGATGTTGGATGTTGGAAGTAGCTATAGACTTGTTGGATGCCATAGAGTTCATTACATTGCAACGCGTAAGCATAACTAAGACACCAAAGAGCAGAAGATTCATGTGATAAGCTTGACGTCATACCTCAAATCTTAATATGGAACCAAAACACTGACCATTCCAAATGAGATTCATAGAAATCTTTGAAATGCATATGTTTCAAGGATATCAAGGACACATGAAATGAAAATTTTATGACCTCGCATTCAGTTTTCGATACTTAAGAACTTGGAGGTGCAAGAAGCTACATACCTCCATCTCCTGTTGCTTATACTGATCCCTGGCTCTTTCTCTGATAACTTTGAGCTCATCCTCTCGCATGCGCAACTTCTTCATCAAAACAGACATCGTCTTCTTCAAAGTCTTACCAACCTCCATCTCCCGTTGCACCTGTCCTTGAAGATAGACCACCTTATTGTTCTCTTCATCAATTCTTCGCATCGGGATTAACACCATTTCTTGAAGACTTTTCTTCTCCCATTTCAAATTTTGCTTGCCTACAATGATCAGAAATAAGGTTCATCTTACAGTTGATTTTCGTGTTACTGATTGCAATTGAGAACGTCCATAAACATCGAAAACGATGGTACACTGTTAAAGGCCATGACAATGTCAGGTACAATCGATATCAGGGGATTTCAAAGAAGTGATTTAGATCTGAGACACCTTGATTGCGAGAGACAGAAGGATGTATGAATCTCGGCAACAGACGATGCTGGGTGAAATAAGCTCAAGTTTGTAATCATTGCACAACGTTCAGGTGAAAGATGTTTTGTGGCCGTATGAGCAGGTCCTTCAGTCCAAAATAGATCAAGCTCTTCACCTAATCTAACTGCATTGTTCCAAGTACTTCCAAGTTCATGAAATATAGGTTGAAATCATTACCTTTGCTGTGCTTGTTGAAGACATCTAGGTCCTCTGCAGTAGCCATATATCCGTACAAAATGCGATCTCCTCCTGGCTGAAATAAAACCTTTCCTTGAGAGTACCAATGATCTCTGCCACGAAGAGCATCTCTGAAGTGCTTGTCGAGACGTTGAGAATCATAATACCCGGTTGGCGACTCTGGGAATATAAGTATACTAATACCCCGATGACCTTGCGGACCATAGGCATGTCGAGCCTTGACGGGATTGTGCTTCTTGAACAGATCCAACAGCTCTTTGTTGCCCATTCCAATCCACTGTCATATATCAACAGACAAGGTACGGGTTTAGAGAACCTTGAATATGGGAAATCTGAATCCTGCCCCAATTTCGGACGTTCTCTACAGAAGCCAGAAACTCGAATGGCATCTTACATAATTACTAAGAGATCTAGATGACTCTTCAGGCCACCTTCCCATGCTCCTTGCTAAGCTTTTGCTCATGAAGTCCGTGTGGCTTAAGGTTCTGTCAGAGAATATTAAGACCAGATATGTTAATTACCATGAATCTCAAATATCACGAAAACCGTCATTGATCACATGCCTAGAGTGAGGATCTAAATCGTGTGAAGCCACATATAAACATAGAAAACGATGGAAAGACCCCATCAACACCGCTTAGAGAATAGTTTCTATTCCTCTCAAACTGCTCAGCGATCCAGTTGATAGAGAAGATAAAATTCCACATGATAATATCGTTTATCAAGACTTCATCGTCCATAACATCTTTTTGAGACAATATAAAAATCACATCAACAGCGAATGCTGCTCACTTCCAACTCTGCATCTAGAGAAATATAGCTGATTACAGCAGAAAACTCTTGGTAATATTTGGTGCTCAGGGACAGGAAGGCAGGCATGTGCATCCTTCATCCCGAAGAAATGAAGAAAGACACTGGCACTATGTGGCGCAGGGGAGACAAAGTTGGAGTACTCAAACTTGCTCTTCCACTGACTGATGGACTGCATACGTCAACGAATCATATTGTCATTGAGTCCTTTGAGCAATGTGAAGCTATCAGGCACCTTTGATGTAGATGTCTAAAGCAAAGAGGCGAAAAGTAAGTATCAAGGAAAGGTGGAAATCACCAAGAACGAGATGTATGCTCTGGAATTTTTACAATGACATCGGTCAAGTGGCTGACAACGCGAGAATGAGCAATTTCATTGCTCTTGCAAAAACAAATTTCCACCAGCTTCGAAAGATGCTGGAAGCACCCCCGGTGTTGAGGGCGTCTGCCATCTTTCCAAATATGATTTTCAGAAGCAGTACTGCTGCTCAATAGCTCTAAAAAATCAATTTTCAAGTACAAGAGTAAAACTCACAACATTTAAAATGACAACAATCTCATGAAGAGGCAATTCGGTATTCGCAGTGTTGAACAAAGCGGGCCATATAAGTACCATTGTGCATGTTATTACTTCAACAGACCACTTTGTTGAGATCACTAGCTGAAAAACGAATTTTGAACTCGGGATACGCAGAGCGCAGTTGCTTAGTCAGTGTATAGCGATTAGTGGACAGGTTGTTTAATACTATTACTCTAATTGTTAGCATCGGCAGATATACGAGATAAATACTATTGAAACGTTGAAGTCAAGGAGTTTGCAAATCAAGATAAAACAAGCAGCCATCTTAGCGTTAGCAATCATGTAATTTCAAAATATGCATCGACTATAGAAAAATATCTAATGCTTCGTTCTTTGTGGGAGGTGATATACCTTATCAACCTCATCTTGCTCAAGCTGGGTGTTGCGAATGACCACCATTGGGGGCCACACAATCAGCGTATCTTTATTGTCATTGTCGTCACCTAACCCTCGCCATTTTCCATACTTCCCACTCCCATGGGTACCTGGAGCTGCTCCTCTGATCCTAACCTCTTCCTCCAAGACCTCGGCAAATGCCTTGTGCAACTTCACCCTCTTCGAGCGAACAGTTTTGGCATGTGCGAGAAGTGGCTGCAAACCTCTATACCAATCAATAGCGCCCACGCCACCTTGACAAGCTGGACAATGCCACTGCCGGTCGTGCTCTTGCAACTCATCCTCTGTCAACTCGTCAAGATCTTGAAAGAAGTTTCGAAACCACTTGTTTCTTCTCTGTGTAGCGTGACTCTTGTGGCTTTCTGCAGAATCGAAAGACGCAAGACTCATGGTATCGCTGTCAAAATCGTCATCGGAACACTGGCTATCGGAGTAAAGACTCCCGGGATAGTCATCAAAAACAGAAGATCCATTACCAGAGAAAGCAGGGAAACCTCCTTTCCAAGCGTCGATAGGAGCTTGTGCAGTGTTAAACTCTGGGTTTCCAGCATTTGGTTCAGGCAAACCACGTTCAGCAGGTAGAAGTTTCCCTATAACTACACCACTCTTCACGTTGCTGGCCGCACCTGAAACCTGTGCGCTCGTGAGCGAGGCAGTACTCAAATTGGAAGAAGAGTGGGTTAACTTATTGAATGGCTTTCCCCAAGCAGATTGCGTCTGTGGTTGACGTGGAGAAGCAACGACGCTACCTCCTTCGCCCCTGGCCATGTTTCTGGGACTCGGACGTCCACCTTTAATTGGTGCATTGTTCCCAGCGGATCGACCTCGACTCACCTTTTCCCAGTCGCCTGGACGTTGCTTATTACCTCCTCTATGAATTGGCTCGTTGCTTTTAGGACCTTGTTGCTGCCCGCGTCCTTTACCCCTCTGACCGAAATTTGGTGCCAGGAATGACTTGTTTTGTGAATCATCTGCTCTCTTGTTTCGCCGAGGGCCTGCGACCTCCCAGCCTGAATCCCAGTTGGACGCGGGGACATCAGTTGTCGGCAAATCCTCATCCCAATTGCCGTTCGAAGACGGAACATCAGCTGTGGCCAAATCGTCATCCCAGTTGCCGTTCGAAGACGGCGGTGGAACGTAGACATTGGAAATAAAAAGCGGTGCTTCAGGTACTTTAGCAAACGTTTCAGAGCCTCGACGGCTTTTGTTCGAACGAGCCACTTCCCAACCTGCGTCTCCAAACTCACTGTCTCCGTGTCCATTTTTATTGTCCTTAGCCCCATCTGGCTCCCACGAAGAAGCAGATGTTAATTTTCCCCTCGGCGAACTCTCATATTTAGGCTCCTCCTGATTCCGTGTTACCCGTATTGAAGTCGCAGAAAGGTTGCCGGGTTTGCTCCGCCCATGGAGATGGCTACCACTCTCTGCAACTTTACTTGTTTTATCGGCATTGCCGGGCCGAGATGGCATCCAGTCCGTATCCATTCCGTGTCCATTCGCTCTGGTGGCCTTGGCAGGGGAATTTGAAGTGTCAAGCTGGAGATGGACGGGGCCTGCACAGCTATCACTCTCGGACATGACTTTGCCTGTCGCCGGATGCGAAGTTTCTTTCGTACCTTCACCATCGGTCTGCACTTCGATATTCGTAGAACCGATCTGGTCTTCCTCATAACTATCAGCAGGCGTTGCAGACACTTCCACCGCAGTTGTGCCTGCTTTGCTTTTCTTCTTCTTCTTCTTCTTGGATTTCTTCACCGCGCCATCCTCGGTTTTGGCACCATTCTGGCCTTCGACCTTTGCTCGAGGCTTCCCAGTCCAACCGGTAGCTTCATGTTCTTCCTCCACCTCGTATGCCCAGGACATCCTAGACCTGGGAGTGAGTTCACTTCCGCTGTCCGTTTTAGGAGCTTCTGAGGGGTTCTTGGACAATTCCCCTTGTTCAGTACCAGCCAATCTGAACTTGTCCGGTAGACCCTCAGAACGCGGTATTACAATCTGACGCACATCATGGAGCTTTGCCATAGTTTTGTCCGTGTTTACGTTCCCTCAATCAGCAAGTAGGGTGTCAGTCACATTGCCACCGCATGGGTCCTGGTTCTGAAGGAGTCGTTAAGCAAGAACAGTCCAGCTGATCGCAATTGGTCCCAACACTAGATAGTAGTTTAATATTCTGCTCTCCTAGCTCGTCAATAGCTCACTCAGCAAGCTTAAATCGCTGGATAGGGTGGAGTAAGATCTCCACAATTCCTTGTCCTGCTCAGTACTTACTGTTAATGCTTCATCGGCAGATCAATTAGTCGATCATAGTTGCGTTCGACGCCAGAGAAGACAACATTCCTATAGTGCAGATCTGGACATCGGCACTTTGCAGACGTCTGGGGTTTAACACCCGACTTTGGGTCCAAGACTGTTGATCGACAAGTGTCTAAACGTTGTGTTTCGGAGATAGTAATCTGGCAACGAGAATGGAGAGGATACGAATCTGCGCTTAGGAAACTACAGCTAAATCATTCCAGGGGGATCAAGATGTGGCGCAAGATCTAGCCTTCCGAAAAAAATTAAGCTCTCTCATCTCTACACAGCTGCACAGCCCTTACAACAGTTACGAACAGCAAACAGAACCCACCGAAACCAATTTCACTACTGTGGATCGAGTCACAGAGCTGACACCGTCCCAGGCAGAGCGTGGCGAACGGGTGAAGGTAACGAGCCGACGGAGCCGACGGGGTTGTGAGACAAACAAGAAGACGCAGATTTTGTCAAAAGATTCCAATTATAAGGAAGACGCAATTCGGCAGAAACAGCGAATGAACACGTTCCGGTTCGACTGCAAGGCACTTGTAAAGGTCACGAAATGCCGTGTCAGGCCAAGACTTTGCGGGTTCCTAAGAAAGAACGGGAGAGTAAATCAGAGTTACAGACAGATTGGGGACACGAACCACGAAAACACAACAAACGCTCTGGACTAGCATACATAAAAAGAGATACGAATTCCCTCGACGCACGGGCGGCAGATACCATATGTCACTAAATATCCAGGTTATCGAGATATGCGGGACTTTCCCTTCCGACGCTCAAGAACGCGACGGTCAATGCCTGCGCTTTTGGGGAAAGCGCTGCCAACTCTACCTCCTCCAACTCTAGTCTGGCCTCGTGGCCAGCCCCCGGCAGCTATTTGTGCATTTGTCTAGCCCCGACCACCTGCTCCAGAACCTCCTCTAAACAGGATCGGCAGCCAAGGATAAGAGTGGGGCCCCCGCTCCTGCAGCCGATCAACCGGGAGCGGGGAGCACCAACGAGCGACCGGTCTCGCGTCGCCCCTAGGATAACCCTAAAGGTGGTCCGGACCCTCCTCATTCTGCGCGCAGTATTCAAACCCTCTAGCCAAGCGGCTAGCCAAGCGCCCCCGCCCTTGCCGTGCCGGTCAACACTGTTGCAGACGCTCCAGCCGGCCGCGGCATTCGGCAGCCAGGATTCTGCCTGTCCACTGCCGACCGGCGAGAGCCGGTTGCCATGCTGGTTTCCGTGGGTTGGTCGACACCAACTTCAGACGCCGGTGTCTTGCCAGTGCCGCACAAACGGGCGGAAAGTGCATCGCCGGCGGTAACTACGGATACTGCCTTCTGGTAACGGCAGCTCCTAGAGCATCTCGACGCCGTAGATGCCGAATGCCGCTGCGGACGGACTTCCCGTCTGGAAATGCTTGTCGTGTTGCAGACCGCTGCAACCGACAAAACGAAGGTCGCACTTGCGAAAGGAGAAGAGATTGAGGAGACGTGAGATCGCACGCGGAATGGCGCCACACAAGTCGCTCTCGAGGAAGGACCTGCCCTGCAAAGTGTGCATCGAATGAATGTGTCCTCCCAGCGTCTCGGTCTCATTTCCTGACAGGTCCGGACATAATATGCACCTGCCTGCTCCTCCGAGCGAACATGTCTGAACATGACAGGCTATGCGACAGACGACGGACGATGTCCTCCTCCTTCAATCTTCAGGATCGACGCCTTCGATGACCCTTGCAGATGTACGACCTCGATCACCTACTCGCATCTTTTTCCCTACTTTTCCTTTCCAATTTGTCTCAACAACTGTGTTCTTTTATATTACCGTACCGCTGGTAAACATAAGTTTACTGTTTTGGCATGTGACTACATGAATATTTTAAGATTTCCATTTGTTTTGTATAAACTTGAACCTTTTTCACTCTTCTTATCATTGACTTTGGTCCATCTGGGCCGTCCTTTCTCTGACCTAATGGCTAGGATGAAGTTCAGTTTCAACCATGCAGTACCATATCGTTGAAATGTCAAAAAAGTATATCACATGCTGATCCTGATCATTCTGATAGTACAGCTTTTCGGGCATCTGCTCTTACGGAGCTTTCGAGCACATTTGTGCGCGTCGCAGGTACTTTCGAAAACCCTAACTCTCAACTGCCCATCCATGCGTAGACTACCCGTTTCTCTATTTTAAAACCCTAGAAGTCAAATCATGGCTGAAAAGTAGTTTTCGAAGTTTACCGAATATATAATATTCAGCATTATAATATTTCAACGGGTGGCTTGTCTAATTCTTAATTTATGCAAGCTAAGTGACGCTGACATCTGATGATATGAGCAATCTACATACTATGATTAATAAATGTGAACGACTGCCATTCAAAACAGCGTAGAGCGTCTTCACTTGCAAATTTGCACCCTAATTGTAATTCTAACTTTCCTAACTAATTCTAAATTTCGAGAATAAGTATCGATCTTTTTGTAGATTACGCGCGAGTAAATCTTTGTAGTAACTAGTCTAGATTAGACACACAATTTTGCTGATATCTTAGTTGTTCTACTCTACTTTATGTTATCATTTTCTCAGACAGCAACTGAGATAAGATGATAGTATGTGTTCTTTTGATCTAAAATGTATAAATTATGTCAAAGCTATCAGAGCTTGATGACGGCAAAAAAATGATGCAATCTTGATAACGTTTAGATAAGTCGTGTGAGGAATAAGATGATGATAAAACTCTAAGAGATTGATAAATATGATATCCTTAAGTGTCACATAGAGTTGGACAAAAATCAGAGTAAAGTCGATGTAGAGTTTCGTGAATGGCATGAGATCCAAAGAGTTTGTATTTTTTGATCTTTGTGCAATCAATTTTAGATGTATATATCAACATCATTTTAAAAATTTAATTAGAATTTCAATTTGAATATAACTACATTCCTTAGATTTTATATTTAGAATTTCAATTTGAATATAACTGCATTCTTTAGATTTTATATTTAGAATTTCAATTTGAATATAACTACATTCTTTAGATTTTATATTTAGATTTTATTTATTTGGTTCATTATTTCTTAAGAATAAATTTGAAAAATAAATTATCTTACTTTAGGATTAACGCTATAGATCTTCTATAAACTAGAATTTGAAATCTAGTTGAAATAAAAATGTAATACATATACATGTTCAAGTTTTATTGTTTGCTCTAAATTGAAATTGATAGATCAAGTTTGATTTCTTTTGATTTCACAATAAATCTAAAAGTTACATTTTTTATTATCATATGTGGATTTGGGTCATTCTTTAGCACTTTTTTCAAAGTATTGTGATTCTAGATATAGTACACAAGAAAGCACAATTGTAATTCTAAGTACATGGTATATTCATATGTGAATAACTTATATCTACAAACAACTTTCTTAAAGATCCAAATCTAAATCAATTACTGACAGATGTCTTCTTAATTCATAAATTCATGATACATTTACCATTTATCATGTACTGAGTAATAAATTCTTTGTGATCCATATGATTTTTTTAAAATAAGATACAAGAAAATATATCAAACATGTCATTATTTCAACTAAAATTAACTAAGTTGTAGGGAAAACATGATAGAAAAAAATTATAAATAGTAGTTATGTAATTGTTAATCTACTTTATTATATCCATATATACATCGTGGAATTTATCTTGAAATTTTTCTTAAAGAAATCATTTTGATAATGTCAGTAGCAATATTGATTTCATCGTCAATATTGACTAATGTATTCATTTATGAAACAAAGTTTGTTTAAAATCATGATATATTGACCTCCATCTTAGGTATGCAAATTGATCCGGCGGACTTGGGCGGACTTGTGCGTACTTAACCAGTAGTTGTATACTAAAACTCTCCACTCTCAAATCATCTATGTTTTGCTCCCATGTCTAAGAAATTGAATTGCAAGCGTCTGAATGAGTCTCAACGCTGCAAATTCATCTTGAAACTAAGCAAGACGAATCGTCTTAGTAAAAGGGCTCTAACATGGGAATACAACTTTAATGAAGGTTCTATACAAAAAGTTTGAGAAAATCAGGAGTCGATTTTGGAAAGATCTGATTTATTGTTCGAGAAGACTAAAGAGAGTACGTTTGTGCTTTAGTTGGATAATTTATTGAGCTCCCATGTCTAAGAAACCAAATTGAAAGCGTTAATGAGTCCTGACGCTGCGAAATTAACTCGAAACTAAGCAAGACAAACGCTCTTAGTAAAAGGGTTCTAGCACGGGAATACAACATTAGCAAGGGTGCTATACAAAAAGTTTGGAAAAATCGGGAGTTGATTTTGGAAAATCTGCCTTGTTGTTCAAGGAGGCTAAGGAAAAGACAATTTATGCTTTAGTTGGACAATAAATTGAGCTTGAAGATATGCTCTACATTTGAATTGACAGCATGCGTAATGCAAAAATCCTTGTACCGCCATCCCTCGCCATTGCCGAAGTGAAAAACATTACTTCTATCTTATTAATTTTGGAATCAAAATTTAAAGCATCATGTCAAGACTTAGTTGTTTCAAAGTTCGTCGAGTATTACAAAAAGTGCTACTTCACAGAAAAGAAGACGAAGTCGACAAAGATGATACTCAATTGTTAGTAGCTTTGGAAGATTTGTACAAGATCATCAAACGTTACAAACCTAAATTTTTTTATAATATGGACGGAAGTGGATTTTTTTGTTGTTGCTACCAAGATATAGCATTCTTATGCTGGATGAGTACATATCAATTATAAGAGTCAAAAAGAAAGCCAGAGATCTTGTCTCTTTACTCATATGGATCAATGATGATAAAATTTTGGTACTCATAAAATTGCATATGTGCTTATCAGCAAACCAAAAGAGCCAACTTGTATCAAAAATTGGAAGTGGTTCACACTTACTAATTAGTATAAGTCTTGGATTGATGTAGAATCTTGCATGAAGTGTTTCAACAAGATCTTTGTTTTTGAAGTTTGCAAACGTATTGGATGTCAATTTCTTTTGCTCCTGGATAATGCTACAAGACATTTGATGCCTTTGAACGTGATAACATACGAATTTTTTTCTTTCCATCAAATCGTACAAGTTGAAAACAGCATTGTGATATGAACACCATTGCAACATTTTTAAAAAATACAAATATTTAAATCTCAAAGACATTGTCAACTTTTATGAGCTTGATGAGGAGGCTAAGCAACAAAAGAAAGAGCTTGGACGCGGATTATATTGTAGAGCTGCATGAGTCTCTTATGGAAATCCAGCGCATCCATTTGATGTTGCGTGTTATCTGAAAGAAGCGTGGGATGCAATTTTGTCCAGCTTGATCAAGAATGATTTCACCAAAGCAAATCTCATGAAGCTCAAGGCAGATGTCTAGTCTATTGACGTGCTTGACATCATTGACACAAAGTTGGCAAAGTTTGTTGAATCATTGAATTTATTTATCGTTCAGTCAAAGTTACAGTCTTTTGTTCACTTGTATGATGTGAACAATGATGAGTACGCAGTTGTGGTCTTGAATGACGTTGAAGATCTTTTTGATTAGATGAAAGTACTTGAAATCAAGGATGAAGATGATGACAAAAGAAAATCAGCAAGAACCAAATGATGATTTGATTGTGTCATTGTATTTTGAGGTTTTGAATCTCGTTATAAGCAGATACTCAATATCGAGGAACAATTTCTATTCACTGAAGTTCAAATTGAAGCTCAAGAAACATTCGATGATCTCAAAAAATCATTCGAGTTTTTTTACAATAAGATCCAAGCAGTTGTTATCAAATTCAAGCACAAGAGACTTTACAATTTACGTATGATGACGATTCATGAC